TTTAAATAAATTTTTTACGAGTTGAGCTGCAATTTTTTTCTGATCAGCTGTGGAACATAAAAAGGTATTTTATGGTCATAAGTAGAATTTTCTCAGGGTCTTGTTGATCGTGTGCGTTTGATCGACGCCGACGTAGATGTGTAGTAGGGGCACGGTACGGACGAGGTAGGCGAAAGCATATCATTTCGTACGTTCTGCCTGCGCAGGAATTTCGTTTCTCGCCGAAGTGCCTGCTAGGCAGAATCTGTTTACACGATTTACAAAAACCGCGAAGAACCTGTTTCCTTTATGAAGCATTAAGTTCATTTACTATTTTTGCCGAAAAAGGTTTTTTCGCAAGTCAGAGAAAAGAAGCTTGAAAAAGTCCGTGATTAGATATTTTGCGGCCGTGATGAAGGAACCGTAAACCTGGCCAGCACTGGAACCAACTCGATTGCGTGGTATTTCAATTACATGTTGTCCAAAACGTTTGACGAATGATCACAAAGTAAAATGGGCATTTGAAAAATGACCTTGCGAAAAATGTTTTTGCACAGTTGATAGGATTTAGTAGGTTCACTTTCTCTTAATTAACCTCCTTCTCACTTACGCCTAACCTTCATTTTTGTGCGCGGATGCGAGTAAATGCGTACTTCACCGATTGTGCATGGTTTTTCGGGCGTCAGATTGTTGGCCCGGCGCTGGTGGTGAAATTTCAAGCTGGCGCATCTTCCTTCTGAGAAAAATATACACGATTGATGATGAAACCGAGTGATTTCAGCTGAGGTGGCATGCAGGAATTGAGGCGATGCAAACTTAATCATAATCTTAGGCAAACGCAATCTGGTCGGATCCTAGCCAAGCCGAGTTGAATCTTTCTCAGTTAATTATTGCGTAAGTGATCGGCGGCCATTCGCGGGAATGAGTCGAAAACGACGAAGACGGTGGCGTAGGACAAAAATGACCTTGCGCGTAAAATATCTGTTTTATGCGCATAAAATGACCATAAAGTAAACGTATAAATTTTAATTAAGCGACTTCCTCGTCCTAATAACCGCTACGTCGATTTTTGCCCGCGCTCTCAATTGAGCATAAGCAACGCGATGAGTAAACAAAATTTTGTGAGAAAAACTGTTCGCAGAATTTTGCTGCTCGCAATCGATGAAAAATAATTAGCAGCGTTCGCGAGCAGCAGGCAGAATGTAAACCTGAGTGACTAGCTGATCCGTTGAGGTACGTATGCGCACTGATTAACTGACTGCCGACTGTACCCTCGAATTCAGACCAACCGGCTCGTGGCATACAGACGGACAGACTCACAGATCCATAACGTGTTATCTGCATGCGGACGCTCACAAAAAACAGCACCGATCACATTTGCAGATAGTGCATGAATATACATATTTTTTGCGAAGATTTAAGCATGAATAAATGGAAGTCGTCGTTTCGAACGTACACTACTGTATATCGCGGTCAGATGTGGCGTTGTGTCAAGGGTGGTGCTGGTCAGTCGGTTGGTCGATCGATCGACGCTCTTTAAATCAATCGCCGTATAACTGTAAATTATGCGTGCAGTTTTGTAAAATTTTTTATGCCCAACAGCTGCCGTCGTTTTTTCGAGGTACGGTCTATTTTGGACTCGATATACGATCATGCCAGCTATTAATTAACGAGATTAGTCGCAGAGTAACGCACGCCCGTTTCTTGAAATGGTGTCGACTAATCTTATCCGAGCAAGCGAACTAAATCGAATGTGCTTGTGGTGGTACGTTGGTCGTTATCCCGTTATACACATTCTTCTGTATGAAAATATTCTCTGATGGCGATATGAGTCCTCGTGGAAGAGTCAATAGTCGATAAAGAAAACTACGCAGATATCGGGAGATGAACCCACTGACTGAATAGAGTAATTTTTTCGGTTAGGACAAGCAGCGTTTGGTAAACAGTCCGAATAACTCTTAATTAGCGACGATGACCTCAAAATTTAAAACGCAACGCTGGCAAAGTCCGGTTTCACGAAAGCTGCAAGATTATGGCCGGGATCTCATGGAGGCAGGCTGTAAACGGTTTCCCCATTATCCGTTACCTGGACGATTTATTCTGAGCTGGCAATAAAGGATGTGTCCCTTAAATGTGCTTCCTTGTAGAAAAGTGGGAAGGAACAACGGTCAGAGTTGCCTGCATGTACCGCCGTACGGAATTCATTTCCATCACAAGATGGCTTAAGCTTATCTGCCTGTATCCTTCACGAGCTGAGTGCTGATGTAACCCAGAATGTTGAGATGGAGCGAAGGGAACGAGCCGATACGGAACGTGGTTCTCGTCATCCCGACGAGTCGACAGTTCATTATGGCTTATCTGTTACCTCAAAAACGAAAAGCTGTACCTTAGAGAGTCCAATGTCCAACCCTGCAGATGGAGCCTTCTTGCTCTCACGTTAGTGAAAGCTGTTTAGTTGGATGCGTGCTGTATGCGAAACGCAATTTGCCATCGCTCGGACAGTGACGCGAGATTGATGTATACTTTCAATTATGATAAAACGACAACAGAACGCTACGCTTTCGCAGAGACGTGAAACTTTTCAGTGTAATCAAACTTCATTTCCGTCTGCGTGCGTAGAATGCCCGAGGTGCCCCGAATCAGAAGCGACTTTGACGTTGAGGTGAACGATCATTGTGAATATCGTCTTACCACGTTTCAGCTGCTCTCCAGTGCCTGTAACGTATAAACATTTAGATTTAGGTTTATTAGCTATAACACGTGAATGCCTTGTCTGCTTTTAATCGAATCCTCATATAACGGGTGCAGATTAGACATCGAAAAAAGTTTCTACAACGAAAAGTTTGGGCAGTACAACTAAGCAAGAAGATCTTGCAGTCGAACTTAGCTCAGCTAACTTATGTGACTACCCAAAGCTTAGTAGTATTCCTAAACGTACAGGTTTGAGGTAACAGCTTGTTGTACAGAAATTGCTTGACGTAGACGGGGACACACTGGTTTGACCTGTTGGTATTTTGTGCCTGTGATAATATGGAAATGGTCGCCACTGATAGAAAATGCAGCTGCGTACCTAGTTGTTGCAGGTTGGGCTGCCTCATTTATTGCATCGTAAAGCGTGGCGGCATCGTTAAGAGATGGACTGTGAGAACCGCATGTTTCCATCAGTCTTCCAGCTTTGGTTCCTGACCATCGTCAGCGTTGCTGGAAGTTCAGTAGACGATGAATAAATGTTTAGAAAAGGAACTGAAAACGTTTCGAACTTTGTTCGCTCAGTTCTTGACTGAAAATTATCTAGATTACTGCCAAAATCTAGCATGGCACGTTAGTTGTTTGCTGCTAGGGCACTAGGGTCCTTGGAAAGTTGGGCATACATTAGCATGAGTCTGAGGTTTGGCACTGCTTATAAGCACGATGATTATTTCCATGAAACTGCCTACATGGAGGCGGTAGGAAATATCGGCGAATATTTTGCAGAGACATTTTAAAGCTGGAAGACGGAGTAAGGAAATGAGGATGAAGTCGAAATTTGTTTTGGGCTTGAAAAAAAAACGCCCAGCGTCAATGCAAGGCACTTGTGGTTACCAGTTTAATAAACAGTTTTTTTCACCTACAGCTTGAAATTCAATTCAGTTTAGATGACCACTTAGTTTTTTCGTGTCACGGAGGCACTCGCGGGTCAGGCAGCGTTTCCAACGTTTCCGATCCTGCAGCGTTTTAAGTTTTGGCAAAAGATAACCCGAGTCTAAAGTCCTTCGAGGCCCATGCCCCAGGTTAATCTTGACGGTCTCCGGGCTACTCTGCCGGGCGATTGGGCAAGTGGTTGCTGATTCGCTTTTCTTTCTGGGGGCAATCGCAAGACCCAGACCATCGTAGCTGCGACTTCTCAGCTGAAGAAGCTGTTTTAAATTATGTTAATTTAAGACTATTCAGTGGTTTACGATGATACTTTATTATTCAGAGCTTGGAACGTTTCACAGCTGTTTTTGTATTTACAGTCTAACGGTTATGGTAGCGCTTCGACCTCGAGATTCGTGGCTTAACAGTGAAAAGGGGGCAGCGAAATTAATGACCCGGGCGACTGAATCTCGTTGTTGTTTTTTATGTTGAATCAGAAAGTTGCTCCACTTGCATCTTTCTTTACCGAAACCGGCATTGCTACCGTTCGCCGGCGAAGTGATGCGCACTTTTAGAAGGCTTACCAACAGTTGATCTGAAGTGTATGGATGGTTGGTCAAGGAGGATAGCGTTACTTCAGTCCATTGTCCTCAACAAACTGTTTGACTGCAAATCACGTAACCTCCGCATGGGCCATTGCGTCATGCAGCGTCTATTAATTTTTATTTATCTTACAGTCCTCGGCAGTTGCGCTTGTTTTTCATTTTGAATCGATAAGAAACAGTGTTAAACTCTTTTGTCAAATCAATAAGACGTTTTACTTCTGGCATCATCCTGTTATGCGGAAATGTTTTACATTGGTGCGATCATTTGTACGACTGTGTAATGGTAAACGAATGAGCATTATTTCAGTGAACGGACTTTGCGTTATCGTATTTTATTACTGTTGAATTTATCACTGCAGCGGTTTCATGCCTTTCAGTTGCGTTTAACGTGAAGCGGATCCAATGAGACTAGTTTTTCGTTTTCGGATTGCTCTTCTATTTCTCAAAGTATTGCGAGAATTTTCAAGCCTGTTCAGATCATTTAGTTCAGTTAATTCACGTTAGCTGTGAGGTCTCAAAATGACAGTCAAGTTCCCAAGATTCTGCATTTGCCTCAACCTAGGCCAGATCTTCTGGCATCCGTGAACTTCTGGTGTTTCTGGTAGACAGACCTTCGCTCGCCCTTTCATTTTACCTAAGTTACAACTTTTAATTCCTGCTCATATTTTGAACCCTTTGGAGATAGTGCTTCATTCGTTCAAACAGAGCGGCCGGTGTTCTCTTGAATCATTCATTTGTCCGTGTTTGCCGCTCATCTCCTGTTGCATTCATCGTAACTGTAGACGCGATTACTGACGAGTAAAAAAAAATTGTTCTTGTTTTGAAGACCCTCGTGCCCAGAGTTATGCGATACAGTATTCTTTTTATATTCCATGTAAAAGAGCAGGGTTATTCGTTTTTCATGTGGTCGTCTGCTTATGCCGATAATTTGTCGGAGCTTGAACCGCGCACTTTAAACGGTGCATTTTTATTCTAACGATTGACTGTCAAAAATGAGTTTCATATTGTAAGGGGTTGCCGTAGAAGCTTGTTTTATTTCGTGTTTCGTTGCTACTGCGTTCATACGGCACAGTAAGCTGGACGATTCGAAATTGACGATGAATGAGTGACTCAGGTTTTGGAGTCGCTTTCTAATCTGCTTCGCGCTGACGCATTTATTAAGCTTTTCTTTGAGTTGTTAATCACTGCGTACGTCTTCGCATTGCAGTATCATTTTACGGCCAGCACCGACTGTATGCACAGGCAGTCAGCAATAATGCCGCTCGAGTTAGCTGACCGGATGGACAAATACCGTCGACGCTGTTTAATTTCTACTTCTTCTCTGGTGGCCGTGGCGCCGTGTGCCTTTCTTTAGCCTGGCGCTGTTCGCGGCCTAATTTCGTGTCAGATTAGTAGACTCACTCAGCAAGCAGTGCTTTCGAAGATGACAAACGTGAAGTCACGTTTAGAGTTATTGCCTCCGACACTACAACTGTCACCAGTGGAATTTACATCTCGGAAGATCGGTCTTGGCTGAAAATGGCTTTTCGTTTATTGGTTTCAAATCGTTCTCATGATATTGCTGGATTCTTTGGCGAGTTACGCGATGATAACTGACATCTTGCGAAATCTGGCCGGATGATTTGTGACCGCGCTGCAGAAGTATTTGCTAAGTTATGCCGAATGCTAAATTAAACGTCAAATATGCGCTGTTTTTTTATCCCGAAACGCTAATATATTTGCGTCGAATAATTTTCACCACTGCGATCGGTGCGCAGGGCGCAGTGCATTGGAAATCGCTGGCGCCGGCCGCCTCCAAGTAGTCTTCGACGACACGACACGACGACCAGGCCGTAGATGATTCGTAAGCAAATTGAATTTTAAAAATTGAAAAATGTGTGGTTCGACACCATGCAGCGTCCGTCGTGTGTCGGAATCAAGCTGGTTCATAGATATTCAATTAAATCACTGCCATATGCCCATACGCGTCCAAAGATCGATAATCTGGTTTTCGATCATTGTCGGTGTCTCATGTCTGAGTGAGTGAGTGTGTGTGTGTGTGTGTGTTTGTGTGATTGTTGTGTGTGTGTGCTGTGGGTGTGTTTGTGTG